AGATAGATAGATATACCTTCTAACTGTTTAGGTGAAACATCAAACTCCATCCACCAAGCCTTCCCTTTTGCTGTTGGCAATTTTACCTTTTTAACCTTGGCAGCAAGAAATAAAGAGCCAGCAGCTATGTAATGGGGTTTGTGTTGCAAACACAGTGAGGTACGAAGCCTAGAAGAAAATACTTTGAATATCAATAAAAGTATAAAACACCATGAGAGTAAAAAAAATATATTTATATATATATATATATATATATATATATATAATAATTTACAAATTACAAGTTACAACATACCAATCATTGACAAAATTCCATGCGACTTTTACAAGCTCCTTGTCTGTAATAGATAATCTCTTAAGAGCAGCAACAAGAGACTTGTATGGATGCTCTATATTTAGATCAAAAGCAATAGTAATCAATAGAAGTCTTTCCCCAATTAAAATTAGATCCTTTTGCTTATCGTATATCTCCTACACAAATAAAGAAACTCATAAGAAAAAAAAAATGCATTGTTGAATCAAGATAAATAGTTAAAGACAACAGTTAGTTACCCGAATTCTCCTTGAGGCTGAAGGATCCCATTTGTATATTAACTTATAAGCAACCACAGCAAGTTCACCTAACCACCTTGGTGTTTCTTCAGCTTTGCATGCAAGAAACATGCATACAGTTGCAACTGTCTGCAAGAATTTGAGTCGAACATCAAACACATGAATCATGAATAGATAATCAGAGAAGATGATGAATAGTCAAATAGAACATTTATATACCTGCCAATCATTCTTTTCATGAGAATGTCGCATGTAAAATCGATGACAAAACATCATTGCTGTAGCTATTGTCACCTGAGGTCTGAAAGATGAAAGAATAACAAATTTGTTATTTTATATTTTTACTTTTAGCAGATAATGAGACAAGTTACAACTTACAAGTATCAAACTGTGAAACCATATGTAATCTTTATGTGAATAAAAAGATCATAATATTCGCATCAGGGAAAATTCTATTTTCTCATACTTACATTTCATGTGCCTTCTCACATGAGAGTGAAGGAAAACAAGAGCTTACACTTTAAGCTCTATGCCAAGCTCTTGAAGAAAAGAGCAGTATAGCTTTCTCAGATGTTGCTCATGTTTGTAATCAATGCCATCAGATCTTGATGGAGTATGGTGTTCTATCTCTTTTCTGCTGAAATACCAATTGCGATTAAGATGAGGTGCTTCAGATATATGCTCTTTTACAATTTCTTTTTGGGAAATATAACATTGCATTGGAGCTTCCATGGTTGTGCTCAAACTTTTAATGACTTTAACAATACACTAGAATGTATTCAACTTTTCCTTACTTTGTATGTTGATATTCTGCAAAAAAACAAAACAATATGTATCAAAAGTGTATCTTGTGCATGTGACATGTGAACATCTTAAAGAAACAGAAAGAATCATGTCGATGTGAAAATCTTCTTTTCTTGATGTTCTTAATTGCATCTATGGTGAACACATATGTAAAGAAAGTAGAAACTCAATAAGAACATATGTTAGCTAAAGTTTTCAGAAACATCTTCCATGAAACACTCTGTTTATCCAGTATAAAAAACTAACAATGCAGAAACAGTATAGATCCAGACATAACCTTTATGATTTCAATATTCAGAAACATGTGTACATAGATACCAAAAAAGATATACGGAAAGAGGAGTTGCAGGGTGCTTTCAAACTAATGTTCATCCTTAAGGCGATACCTACCCTCGTAATTTTAGTATCAAAGATTAAGAATTGTCAATTCCGTTTAGCAATATAATGTCTATTATCAAGAACTCAATTTGATTACAGATTAATGCTCATGTTAAACCGATACTAGATCAGAATGTACAAAGAAGGTAACCTAAAATTGTAAAGAAACAAACAGCGATCAATGAGAAAAAAGAAAGATGAAATTGTGACAAAACGTACATTAACCTGCGATTGAAGTTGTTACTCTTGAAAAGTGCTAACAATTGAGAAGCCACACAGCCACTCTTTTCTCCTCCAGGTTTCAAAAGTCAATAAATGAACCCTAGTTTGGTTTCTGTTTCTGAAACTATAATCACCAGCCTCCCTCTTTGTTTTAAGAGAGAGTTATAAAAATGGCCCCTTGACTTATGATAGATTAACGGATAAGGACATTTGAGAGAGTAAATTATATTCTTAGTTCTTGTTTCCACTTATTGGTCGTAATCTAGGTTTTATAAGGGTTAAATCGTTAGTTGTCAACAAATAGTATTTTTGTTTCATAAATTAGTTGGTAGTTCACAAAGTATTGGTGTTAGGTAAATTAGTCGATAACCTATATTATATATTACATTATAACACGTATACAACACAGTTAGCAAGATAAAATAACATAAACACTATAAAATCATAATGGAGCAGAAACGGTTACCGAAGACCATCAGAGATGGTTATGTAAATTACTCGGGTACAACTTCGACATCGTGTACAGACACGACAAAGACACTAGGGTGGCAGACGCTCTCTCCCACAAAAATTCTAAGCTGCAACTGTCGGCGTTAACAACCTCATGGAGAGTCGACTGGGAGGGATTATGGGGTGAATTGGAAGCTAATGTTGAGATTCAAGCTTTAAAGAAAAACATTGTCGAGGGTGGGGAGATACCGCTGGGTATACCATCGAGGGTAGCCGACTCCTCTTTAAGGGTTGGTTGGTGCTCCCTGAAGTTCAGCTTGGATTCTGGTGATGTTTCGTGACTTCTATAGTAGTGTGATTGGAGGTCATTCGGGAGTACAAAAGGCATATCATTGGATGACTCGTGAAGTTACTGGGTGGGAATGGAGGTTGATGTGGCTAAATTTGTAGTCGAATGTGATGTTTGTCAGCGATAAAAGTATTCTACGATGGCTCCTAGCGGGTTATTACAACCGTTGGAGTTACCGACAAAAGTTTGGTCGGAACTGACAATGGATTTAATTGACGAGCTACCTCGATCATAGGGGTTTATAGTTATTTTTGTGGTGGTAGATCGACTTAGTAAGTATCCCTATTTTATTCCTCTAAAGCACCTATCACGGCTCTGATGGTTGCAACGATTTTTATTAAAGAAATAGTAAGGCTACATGGCGTTCCCGAGTCTATTGTTTCTGACCGAGATAAGGTTTTCTAAGTAATTTTTGGAAAAGAATTGTTTCGAGCGTTGGGTAGTACTCTCAAATGAAGTACCGCTTATCACCCCCAGACAGATGGTTAAACGGAGGTAGTAAACCGATGTGTTGAGACGTATCTGCGTTGTTTTGTTGTTGATACACCAAAGAAGTGGTCACCTGGTTACCATGGGCGGAATACTGGTACAACACATCTTTTCACACTTCAACAAATACCACACATTTTCACATTTTATACGGTCGAGACCCGCCTCATTTACTATATTATGGTAGTTTTCCAACACTGCTCAGTACGGTGGATCAGTACTTGCAGGAGCGAGATCGGGTTTTACAGGAGTTGAGGGGGTATTTATGTTGGATTAGGTATCTAAGCCCATAACTATAATTGGTATGTACTTGAATTAATAGCAGCACAGTCCTTTTGGGTTGCCCTCAAACCTAGCAATTGGATAAGGAAATTATGAAAGGAGAGATATTAATTTATTATAAGATTAATAAATTAATATAAATGATTTATTAATATGTTAAAAGATTAATATATTAATAAGAAATCATAATGTTTAATTAATAGTTAGCCAGAAATTAATTAGAATTGATTTTGGGGTTAACTGTATTAATTATAAAGTGTAATGACTGGTTTGCAATTATCCAATAGTTGAGTGGAAGGTTCCAGAACCTCATTGGAAAGGGATGGACGAAATCTATAGGGGAAACCCTAATGATTTCGTCCAAGGGGCTTGGATAAGGTCTTTGGATAAGCTTAAGCCCTAAGCAAAAGAACATTAGGGTTTTCCTTAAACCCTAGACACCTCAGCTATATAAGGACGCCTCTGGCTCCCAAAACCGGCCACTCCTTCCATTGAAGAAACCCTAGGCCGAAAATTGAATACCCTAGCCTCTCTCCTCATAAGTTTCCTTCTTGATAGCTCTTGGGTGTGATTCCATTAGAGGTATTGCATTTGTGGTGCTAAGCTTCCAAGAAGATCAAGATCAAAAGGATTACCAATTGTTTACTATAACAATTGAAAGGTATGTAACTCTAAAACCCTAATTGGTTAATTTGTAAAATAGTCTCCTCTCTTAGGGTTCTTGTTTTGCAATTCAAAGTTATATGTTCAATAGTCAAATCATAGATCCAAATTAGGTTGCATGTGAACTTAAGAATTGTTTTTCTAGTTTATTTGTTTTACCTAAAACCCATAAGTGGTATCAGAGCCATTGGTTTTGCTTTAAATTGAATTGTTATAATAGTTGAATTGCAAATTAAGGTTTATAGCTATTAAACCCTAAAGGCCAAGATTTTCGTTTTTTGGGTTTTGACTTGAAGGGTTTTCGAAAACCCTAGTCTCCATAAACCCTAATCGAAAATTAGGGTTAGGGTTTTGAAAAACCCTAGCCACCTCCCTTAAATTTCGAAATATCCTTATGATTTTTAGGGTTTCTTGTTTGGATAATTGTTGCTTAATTGGATAATTATCCTTTACCCTAAATTTTCGAATTTTAGAGGGTTTAGGATTAGGATTAAATTAATTGTTTAATTTAATTAGATAATCCTCCAAAGATTTAATAAATTGATTAAAAGTTAATTAATAGATAGTTATTAAATCTAATTTTGGTTTATTTTAATTTTAAAATTAATGGTTTAATTTTTCGAAAAATTTATATAAACCCTAAAGTTTTAAGAAGTTTAAAACACACCTTATATATATTATAATTAAAAGTTAAATATTATGTATGTATAAGAATTGGTCAGTCAAATCGCTAGTATGCCTCATTCACGAAGCTAGTCTATAAGGGGGTATAAGCAAACTGCCTATAAAATGGTAGTTGAATGGGTGTCCACGCTCACCCACCGCTTCCTTGATTAGTGGAGGGTCATTAGCAGAACGGATTTGATAGGACAACTTAATCTCATTAAAAGTATAATGTTATTTATGAAGTACTAGAAAATTATTTTATAAAATCCCAACTCTAGTTGCTTTAGGAAAAATGTGAAAAATATGCTAACCCATGAAATTACACATTAGGCTTTATAAGCTGTTAGTGGAGCGTGTGTGGTTAGTCGGCACACTAATTAGGACTAATAAAGAGTCGTAATGGGTATCCCATGATTATCAATTTTGATGGAGCGTGTGTGGTTTACCGGCACATCAATAGATAATGATAAAGACAATGAGGTTACCAAGTACGTTTGCATGGTTATTCACATCTTGTTTGTGATCCTCGGTATCCTAGTCACAAATAGAAGAGCATCATCCGAGATTAAAACATGTCATTGAATAGTTTCAATGTATCTCAAAAGAATTAGGAATTTCACTTCATTCGTTTCATATTTTGGTGGAATTAGTGAATCGTCATTCACTTACCTTTATGAAATTCACACTTGGATCTCGGCATCCCATTTCTAAGTTGTGAATTCTCATAGTTGGATCCTAACCTTAATATTATATCTTTGGGTTATTATATTGAGGTATCTTGAAATCTAACTAAAACTATCTTTCTTTTCAGATGTCTACTCAAGGAAACACTTTTGCTTCATTTTCCTCCAACCACAACTTCTCTTTGCTCAACATTTGCTCCAAAATCGTTATGGATGGATCTAACTATAACGATTGGATGTGAAATATCAAAATGGCGCTTCACTTTGAGGACAAAGAGTATGTCCTTGAAAAGGAGCTCAAAGAGATTGATGAAATCAAAGCCAATCCCGAAGAATATGTTGCCTACAAGAAGCATTATGATGATGCAACCAAAGTGGCATGCATCATGGTCGCAACCATGTCCCCAGAACTGCAAAGGTACTATGAGGACTACTGGCCCTTTGAGATGAACAAGGACCTTATGGAAAAGTACCATAAGTGAGCTCGTCAAGAAAAGTTTGACGTAGTCAAGTCACTTATGGCTTGCAGAATGAAGGAAGGGGAGTCGGTGATAGAGCGTTTGGTCAAGCTCAACGTGCAATTTGATGAGGAATCGACCATAGACATGGTCTTGAACTCATTGCCGGATAGTTATGGTCAGTTCATCCTAACTTACCATTTGAACAACACCGAGCAGACATTGGCCCAATTGCACGACTTGTTGCAGACAACAGAGGCAGGAATAAAGGGTAAAAGTATAGCATCCACTCCTGCAAGTGCCCCTGTCTTGGCTATTGGACAGGGAAAGGGGAAAAAGAGGAAAGATCCTCCTAAGCAAATTTGGAAGGGATAGGCCCAAGCTGGTTCATCTAGCAGTGGCCCAAAGGACAAGCCCAATGTTGTGATTCCCCATGTTTCCGACCCAAAAGATGCCGATTGCTTTTATTGCAATGATAAAGGGCACTGGAAACGAACCTGGCCAAAGTATCTTCAGGACATCAAAGATGGCAAAGTGAAACCATCTTCAGCAGGTATTTACACTATTTCCTCTAATAACTCATTATCTTCTCGTTCATGGGTACTTGATACAGGATGTGGTTTTCACATCTGTTCTGATTTACAGGGGCTAAAAGAAAGTGAGGAGGTGGATCGAGGGAGGATAAACTTGATCATGTGAAACAGAAAGTCTTCACCAGTAACCAAGATCAGAGTTTATCAACTTTTGCTTAATAATGATGTTAGATTAGATTTATTGAATTGTTGCTATTCGTCTGAGATGACGAGAAACATTATTTCATTTCATGCATTGTTCAAACAAGGTTTTAAGTACTCTTTTAATGATTTGAATGGTTCAATTTCTATTTATAAGAATGGTGTTTTTGTTTTTGAAGATTTACCTTGTGATGGTGTGTATGAAACAGTGACTTGTGTTGATAGCTTAGGTAATAGTGTATTCAATATTGACTTGTCTAATAGTGTAGAAAAGCATGCTTGTGACATTGTCGTCTTGGACACATTAACAAGAAACGCATAGCCCAGCTCCAAAAGGATGGAGTGT